TGCGATGCTATAACCCGCGAATTGACTAGACGACGGGTAGCTGCACTGTGCGAAGTAGCGGTAACAGGGTCGAACTACCTCGCTGGTAGTCGCCTGAGTCTTCAACAGTACACGTCACTGCTGTCACCATGAAACGGGCTGTCGCCGCTGGAGCTGACGTGTACGCAGTAGACATTGCAGTGGTAGAAGAAGCAGAGCAGCAGAGTGATTTCAAGAAACTGCTTGCAGCGGTACCGCCCAAACTACAGGAACTGTTGAAACGATACCCAGGGATTTTTCCTAACGATTTACTAGAGGGACTGCCACCTCAGCGAGCACATGACCCTACGAATAGAATTAGAACCGGGGGCACAGCCAACTGTACAGCGCCAGTTCAGACTGACACAACCCGAGCTTGATGAACTGAGGAAGCAGTTAGATTACCTGTTAGAGAAGAAATTCATCTGACCGAGTTCATCACCGTTTGCCGCACCGATACTGTTCACGCCGAAAAAAGACGGAGGGTTTCGCATGTGCATCGATTGCAGAGCGCTTAACAGGGTAACAGTGAAGTTGCGGTACCCCATTCCCCGCGCCGACGAGCTGATAGACCAACTGCGAACAGCACAGGTTTTTTCGAAAATAGATTTATGGGGGGGGGTTACCATCAGATTAGAGTCGAACCATTGGACTGCGCCAAAACAGACTTTCGGACTATATACGGGTCCTTCGAGTACACCGTGATGCACTTCGGGCTGACCAACGCACCGGCGACTTTTCAGATGACCATGAACGAAGCGGTTAGGCAGCTTTTAGATAAATGCGTGATAGTTTACCTCGACGATATCCTCGTCTACAGTTGCGACAAGCAGCAGCACTTGGCAGATCTGGAAGCTGTATTTAAAATTTTAGACGAGCATCGGCTACTGACAAAGGGTTCCAAGCGCGAGTTTTTTCAGGACAGGCTAGAGTTTTTGGGGCACGTTATTTCGGAGGCTGGGGTCAAAATTGTCCCGAAGAAGTTGGATACGGTGAAAGCCTGGCACCCCTCGACGAATATCACGGAACTACAGAGCTTTTTGGGGTTCGTCATTACGTACGTCGGTTAGTCCCCGACATGGCACGGTTAACAACACCGCTGACGGACTTGTTACGGAAGGGGGTCGATTGTGCGTGGGGGGAGAAAGAGCATGCTGCCGTCTCTACCCTGAAAAATGTTTTCTGTTCACTGCCCGTACTGTGCATCGCCAACCCAGACCGCCCATTCCAAGTAATTACCGACGCAAGTGACATCGCCATCGTTGCCGTACTGCTACAAGACTTCGGCAACGGCCTACAGCCCATCGCATACGAGTCACGAAAACTGCATCCGCCCGATAAAAATTACCCGATACACGACCGCGAAATGCTTGCGATCGTGCACGCGTTCAAAGTGTGGTGCTGTTACTTGACTGGCGCAGACGTGACAGTACGGACAGTGTCAGAATGTTATCTTATGCTCTAGCCTGTAGTGGGGTGCTCTATAGCGAGTACAACCCTTCTAGGGTTTGCTATTTTTATCCTCATTCTCGCTAGTGCAACCCTCTTCTCTCTTCTAACTTTCACATGCTATCAGAGCAGGTCGATCCCCTTGGATTGACCCTGTGGGTGGGCCTTCCACCTCGTTGCTTCCGCTACAACTACAATTGCTACTCTCTGTGCCGCACGCCCCGTGGCGTGCGGCAGTTTTTCTTCCCGCCGTGCGCCCCGAGGCGCGCGGCGGTTTTCTGTCCGCCGTGCGCCCCGAGGCGCGCGGCGGTTCTCTGTCCGCTGTGCGCCCCGAGGCGCGCGGCGGGCTTCTACCCCGTCGTTCGGCGCGTCGCCCTCTGGAGGCACCGCGACGGGCGACGGGGACCCACGCGTCGCCCCCCGTCGCCCGTTGTGGCCTGCGCGCGGCCCGTACAGGCAGCGCGTGGCCCGTACGGGCTGCACCAGGCCCGCGCGTGGCCCGTACGGGCTGCGCCATGCCCGCGCGCGGCCTGTACGGGCTGCGCCAGGCCCGCGCGCGACCCGTACGGGCGGCGCCAGGCCCGCGCGCGGCCCGTACGGACGGCGTCAGGCCCGCGCGCGGCTCGGGCCGCCTGCGCGCGGCTCGGGCGTCTGTACCAGGCCCGTGGTGGGCCCGTTCCTCGCTACCCCTACCCTCCCCGCTGTCCCCCCGTGCTTCTACTGGCGCCCCACCCCTCCTACTCCCCATTCTCCTGAATTAGGGTTTGGGGGTGAGGGGTATGGGGGTGACCTCACTGTGTGCCATTCCCTGCTCTTCCTCCTCCTCCGTCTCCCTGCGCTGCAGCTGCCGCTGAGGGGGGGTGGACGTGTTGGAGCCGGTGGAGTGGTACTAAGGGGGGGTGAAGGGGGAGTGGAGCTAGCGGTGTAGCAGCGGGTGTGTGCCAGGGGGAGTGGGATAGTTTGGGGAAGCTGAATGGAGGTTGCCGTCGTGTCGCCAGCAGCACCTGTAGTCCGGGGAGTTGCTCCGGTAGCCCAGTCGTAGCCCGCTGTGCCAACCGCCCGTGGGTCCGTTGCTCGTCTGCCGCTACTTTAGCCGCGGGGCCAGTTACTCCAGTAGTCCGGAGCGCTGTTCTGGTAGCCGCTGTGCTAGTGTGCCTCCTGTTGCCCGTGTGTCTGCAGCTTCAGCCGTCGCCTCCTATCTCCTCTCCTCTCACTCTCTCTCCTCCTCACTTGCCCGTTGTTACTACCACTAGCTTTGCTCATAATTGTGAACTTTAAACTATTGCTTCTTGAAATTGTGCTCAAAATGTGTGGTGACATTGTGATCCACCCTGAGCTTGTACTGCTTTGCTTGCTCTGCTGATTACACCCCACTTTGGCTATGGGGGTGTGTCAGAATGTTATCTTATGCTCTAGCCTGTAGTGGGGTGCTCTATAGCGAGTACAACCCTTCTAGGGCTTGCTATTTGTATCCTCATTCTCGCTAGTGCAGCCCTCTTCTCTCTTCTAACTTTCACAGACAGACCATAAATCACTACAGTACCTCCACGCACAGCCACACCTCAACCCACGACAGATTCGCTGGCTCGATTTCCTCGATTCAACTTCCACTACACAGTCACCTAAAAAAGGGGGGCATCGAACATCGCCGACGCCCTGTCCCGCCCCACTGCCCAGATCCACGCAATACTACTCACCCAGACTAGTCCACTACTGACCGGCCTATCTACCCACGGGTACCAAACAGATCCATTCTTCACAGGAGGAAATTCGCAGTAGTTCGTAGCAGCAAAGGGAGTCAATTACGTAAAAGCTGGGACCGACCGCATCTGGGTACCAGGGTACACACTGCTACAGGAGTTATCATTACAGGAGGCACAGGACGGGGTTACCTCGGGGCATTTCGTGGTAGAAAAAACACGGCAGCAGCTGGAGCGGTATAATTACTGGCCCGGAATGTTGACCGACGTACAGCGACACGTGGCATCGTGTCCCACTTGCCAGCTCATGAAATCATCACGGAAGTGGCCGGTAGGACAGTTGCAGCCGATACCACCCCCAGAGCATGCTTGGCAGCAGGTGACGATGAACTTCGTAAAGGGGTTACCGGCCGGAGCGAGTGGAACAACGCGATCCTGGTCGTCGTCGATCGACTGACGAAAATGGCACACTTCACAGCCTTCAAGAAATCAATCATAGCCGAAGAAACAACCCGCCTCTTCATCGCCACCGTCGTTCGACTGCACGGGATACTAGCAGGAATCATCAGCGACCGAGACACGAAATTCACCAACAACTTCTGGCGGAACCTATGGCAGCAGTTCGGCACACGACTACAGTTCAGTTCTTCGTACCACCCTGAAATCGATGGACAGACAGAGAGGACAAATCAGACCATGGAACAACTCATTCGAGCCATGTGCGACGACCCAACCACCTGGGAACAACAACTGGCACTCATCGAGTTCGCGTACAACAACTCACCTTCCGCCACGACCCAACAGTCACCGTTTTACCAAAACTACGGACAAGACCCGACAGTACCCATGACCCCACATCCCAACAACCCGGTGCCACGAGCACAACAGTTCGCCAAAAGTTTACAAGCAGCATGGACCCGGGCAGCAGACGCAATTAAAAAATCGAACATCATCGCTGAACGCAACGCCGACCGCCACCGCAGACCTGTCACTTACCAGCCTGACGACCTCGTTTTACTTGATACCCAGAACCTCCGCCTGCCCATCACCCCAAAACTTCGCCCCTGATACTGTGAACCATTCCGCATCAGCCACATGATTACCCCCATCACCGCCCACCTCCTCCTCCCCGCTGACTGGTACGTCAGCCCGTCCTTCCACGTCAGCCTACTTCGCCCCTACATACTGTCCACAAGCCAACTGCCACGTAATCGCCCAGCCAGCATGACGCGACCGTCGACCGAACCAATCATCACACTCGAGAAAATCCTGAGCCAGAGAGTTCGTGACCCACGAGGAGCTCGAAGGATCGAGTTTCTGATCCGCTGGAAAGACCGTACACCCACTGAAGACAACTGGGTTCCCCTGGACAGAGTCGAAAACCACCCCGTCCTCACAGAGTATCTGCGCAGCCGAAATTTCAGAGACGTACTCGCGCTTTCGTAAGGAGGACCTCCTTAGAGGGGGGTGGGTAGTGTAAGGAAAATTCCTTTTCCTTACTTCGCGTCCCTGCTCAGCGCGTACACCACTGTAGCACCATAGTCAGCACCGTTACCACTCGCAACCCTCGCATCGACAATCCTCCCGCCACCTTCGCACGTCGCACCCCGACCTCACGGCTCGGCGGGTAACCCGCGCTCCGGGCCTCCGCTTCGACATTTCCCCAACCTCAGTCCTAGGCTCGTCGCGCGTCAACCATAGTCCATTACCATTACCACTGTAGTTTCGCTATATTCTCTTCGCTCATGCCTTTGCTCATTGTACTCTTGCTTCGATAGTGCAATTCTCGTTCGATCACTCAATTGCACTCGTAACACCTTGGCAGATTGCTTGTTACACTGTAATCAAATCTTACATCATCATCACATTCAGACAAGAGTGCAGCATATGAGAAACATGGTGCAACCTCTATTCTGTGCCATCTATAGCGGGAATGCTTATGTTAACCATTTCTTGTGGTGGCACTTCATGGTGTACAAACAACCCCCTTTTGGTGAATACACAGCCAGTAGTGCTCTTGCCTTGGATGGCCTATACCTAGACAAATTAATGCCACTATATCACTGTATGCACCGTAGTTCTGTCTTGGCATTATAGTCTCCTTGCCCTTGGCTTTCTGTTTCTTCTTTGTCGAAATCTCCACAGGCCACACAGAAATATGAATCCTGCAGAAAAGAATGAAAGGAAGCACAACATCGAGCTAAAAAAAGCTTTGGAGCGGAATCGCGGCATGTGGATAACGCAGACATGTGTGGGTGTATGAAGGCAATAACACAATCTTACCTGAGCAATGAGCTGCATAAAACGTGAAATTCAATGAAAAGACAGAGGGTGCGGCATGTAATGGACTTATGGGTGAATGAAAGGAGGTTGAAGTGTACACACTGCTTGAGTTAGCGTGCAATATGCACAAAATTAGGGTTGACTGTATAAGGTGAAAATAGGGATTGGACATGATTTATGGCATGGCATTGGTAGGATGACTCGATACAGGATGAAGTACGGGTTTGTGTGTAGAGCCAGGTATGAAGAGGGTAACATGTATAAAAGGTGCTGAGTACGGTGCTGATTATGATACATAGTGTGGGCTATAAGAAAAGATTGGCGGAAGGAATATGCTTTGCTTAAGTGCCGCTTGAAAGGATGAGAATGACAAGGAGATGGAGAGGGGAAGAACGAGATTACCCGAGGCAGCAGCGATAACAGGGAAGAACGCATCGAGCTGAGTAAGTCGAGGTGCTTGTCGAGGCGCACCAAAGGTTGAAGGAGTGGAGAGGAGCGAGGTTGATCCAGATGTGATTTATCCAGGTTGGAGGGAGGGAGTGGAAGGGGAAACAGAGTGGTGTGGGGGGAGGGGCGGGAAGGAGGGGTGGAGAGTGAGGGCCATTAAGACATGAATGCAGATGAATCAAAGGGAGGATATGGGAGAGGAGGATATGTGAGAGAAGGAAATGGGAGAGAAGGAAATGAACATGTGAGATGAAACATTAATAAGAATAATGGATTCAAAATTACCCCCCATCTCCCCAGATTTTCCCATATTTCCCCCTCGTATCCCCATATTTGCCCATTCCTCACCTCCTCTTCCAGCTTGTGCCAGTGCTTCCGGATGCTCTTCCCTGCATTCTGCCCCCTCATCTCCCCCCCTTATTTCCCCCACATCTCCCCTTATCTGCCCCGTCTCCCTCCGCATCACCCCCCCATATCTCAACTTTTGAGTTGACAAAAAAATCGGCATATCTCACCTCGTCCTCCCTCTCATGCCAGTGTCTCCAGACGTGCTTCTGTGTCTCCAGATGCTCTTCCCCGAATTCTGCCCTCCCTCTCTCCATCATCTCCCCCCACAATTCCCCCCACATCTCCCCATATCTAGCCCCCATCCCCATCACCCCCTAGGTCTCACCTCCTCTTCCCGCTCATGCCAGTGTCTCCAGATGCTCCGTCCAGCAGACCACCGCCCTCCCACTCTCCCCCCCCCTATTTACCCCCCTATTTCCCATCTCCCTTTACATCTCACCTCCTCTTCTCGCTCGTGCCAGTGCCTCCATATGCTCTTCCCCGCACCCTGCCCTCCCTCTTCCCCTTTCTCTCCAACACCACCGCCTAGCAGCAGGTCATCTGCACTCACAGCAGCAGCACCATCGCTACCACCGCCACCTTCCACTCTTCTCGTTACGGCATCGTCTGCATTCACAGCAGCACCAGCAGCAGCACCGATACCAGCACCAGCAGCAGCACCGATACCAACACCAGCAGCAGGACCAGAAGCAGCAGCAGCAGCAGCAGCAGCAGCAGCAGCAGCAGCAGCAGCATCACTGACACCACCTGGTTCCAAATCACCAGATCCCCTCATGCTGTCGTCACCCCTTTTCACCGCGTTCAATCCCTGTACACCGTCAGATCCCCGTACCACATCGCTCCCGGCCACCGAACCTCTTCTTTGCACGATTTGCGGCTGCTGCTTCCTCTCATCCACACCCAGACCCTTCCCCTCCGCCTCCTCCTGTTCCTGCTGCCTCTGCTGCTGCTCCTGCTGCCTCTGCTGCTGCTCCTGCTGCGTCTGCCCCTGCTGCAGCTGCTGTAGTTTCTCTTTCTCGTGCATTCCAAGTTCCAATGCTTCTGTATCCCCCTGCTCTCCTCCCGCCCCCCCCTCCCCCTTCCCATCGTCCCCCACCCCCTCTGCCTCGTTCACATCTCTCTCTAACCCCTCTTCGGTTTCCCCCTTATCCCTCCCTTCCTCCGCACGTTCCCCCGCTTTCCCCATCCCCGCAGGATCAACCCTGCCCCCACCCCCGCCCCCAACCCCCTCAGTTACACTTTCTTCTATACTCCTGCCCCCTCCTCCTCTCCGTCCTCCCATCGCCCCACTTTTTACTCTTCTCCTTCCCTCCCCCCTCAGCACATCTCTCCCCCCTCCACCTGGTTTCCCCTGCTTCTTTCCAACCCGTAAAACTTTTGAATCCTGCCCACACACCAGCGGCTTTCCAAGAACCAATGACAGGTCGGTGAAATTCACATCCGCCCGCCTCTCGGGCAGCACAAAAACTTCCGAACCACCCAAATTCGAATCCGCCCCTGAGAAACCCCGGCTCAAATCTGACCGGTTCTTCTGCCCCTCCTCCCCGCCACCGCCCCCCATTGCAACTAGCAGCTCATTCCTATGGTGGAACAGCGTCGGGTCTTTTTTCCCCTCGGTAGCAAAGCTAAGCATCTTTCTTAGCAGCCAGAAGCAGTCGCTTACCAAATGACTGCTGTCCAAGCAATTAGAATCGCCAAACACCGCCACTTTCCCCTTTCCCCTCTCCACCAACCCTAGCACCGAAGCCTCAACTTGACTCTTCATCCTCCCTCCTCTTGTCGAAACAATCGACCCGCCACTCCCCCCTCCTGCCACTCCCCCCTCTTCCCCTCCTCCCCCCTCTCCCCCTCCCCCTCCGCCCGCTTCCCAGCCCTCTCCCCCACCACTACCCCCACCAGACGACCCATCCCTGAAAAGGAACCGGTGAACGTAACCACCTTTGGGGAACCTGCGAATATCGGTGCCCGAGGCAAAGTAAGCGCGATGGCCAGCGATTGAGAAGGTGCCGGAGAGAATGGAGTTGCCGAACGCGATGCTGAAGGGAGCAAGGAGGTCGTTGAGAGCTGGCACGTTGGCACCCCCTGAAGGAATGGAGAGGAAAGGGAAGTGAAGGTTCTTGAGAGAAGGAGAGAGAGAAGGTCGTTGAGAGCTGGCACGTTGGCACCACCTGGGAGGATGGGGGGAGAAGGCAGAAGAGAATGGCATGTGCTTCATAGTGGGCATGTGCTTCATAGTGGGCATGTGCTTCATAGTGGGCATGTGCTTCATAGTGGGCATGTGCTTCGTAGTGGGCATGTGCTTCATAGTGGGCATGTGCTTCATAGTGGGCATGTGCTTCATATTGGGCATGTGCTTCATATTGGGCATGTGCTTCATATTGGGCATGTGCTTCATATTGGGCATGTGCTTCATATTGGGCATGTGCTTCATAGTGGGCATGTGATACCAATCCTAACAGCATCCCCACGCGGCCACGCCCCCACGCACCTGCTGCGCCCGCGCTGCACATCTGCTGTGCTGTGCTGCTGCGTCCTTGCCCCTTGCACTGCTCTCACCAGGGAAGCCCTCACTCTCACCAGTGGCAGGCGTCCTTCAGGAGCGAGTTCTGTCGTCAAAAGAGGCACATGTGCTTCATGGTGGGCACGTGGTGGTACCAGAAGAGCGTGTGAGGGGTCAACGTTTCCTCCCACTGACGTGAAGCATTCTTACATATCAGTGATTTGAAAAGCTGTCTGTCACTATGAGGGGACGTGCCAGCAGCAGGTGTGCAGTGCTCTCACCAGGGAAGCCCTCACTCTCACCAGTGGCCGGCGTCCAGTCCACCAGGAGCGAGTGTTGTCATCAAAGAAGCACATGTGCTTCATGGTGGGTGGGGATGGGCTGATAGTACGTGCAGGGGTACACCCATTGATGGTAACACTTCTCGCCAGGGATGGCCGTATGGGCTCTCATCGCAGTAATGATGGGAAGCAGGACCATCTCTCACCAGTGTGCTTTTGAGTCGACTCAAAATCAAAGAAGCAGTACTGACGGGAAGCAGGACCATCTCTCACCAGTGGCCCGCGTCCAGTCCACCAGGAGCGAGTTCTGTCATCAAAGAAGCGCATGTGCTTCATGGTGGGCACGCGGTACCTTTTGAGTCGACTCAAAATCAAAGAAGCGCATGTGCTTCATGGTGGGCACGTGGTACCAGTCGAGTAGAGTGTATGGGGGCTCAATGTACCATTGAAGGGACATAGTAGCAGCAGGTGTGAAGTGCACTGCCCTCGCTCACCAGTAGCGGGCGTCCACCAGGAGCGAGTGTTGTCATCAAAGAAGCGCATGTGCTTCATGGTGGGCACATGGTACCAGTCCCCCACCACTATGAGACCCAGGCCCAGCGCTGTAACATCGTGATGCAACTTCGCTATCTGAGACGCACAGGGGGGAGGGGCAGGGGAGCGCAGGGAGGAACGGGGGGAGGGGTTCAGAGGAGCACAGAAGAAAGAAGCGCATGTGCTTCATGGTGGGCACGTGGTACCAGTCCCCCACCACTATGAGACCCAGCCAGGCCCAGTGCTGTGACATCGTGACGCAGCTTGGCGATCTGGGAGACACATCAAGGGGGGGACGTGGGGAAGGGAGAGGGAGTAACGAGGGCTTTAAGGAAGCGAGTGTGCTTCATGGTGAGCACATCACGTGGTACCAGTCGCCCACCACTATGAGGCCCAGCCAGGCCCAACGCTGTAACGTCGTGATGCACCTTGGCTATCTGAGACGCACATAAACAGGGAAATGCAGGGAAGGGAATGTTAAGGGAGTGCTGGGGGTTTGAATGAAGAGCATGTGCTTAATGGTGGGCAGCCCCAGCGCAGTCATGTCATGGTGCAGCTTGGCTAGCTGAGACACAGAGTGGGGGGAGACGTGGGGAAGGGAGAGGGAGGGAGTGCTGGGGGCTCATGTGAAGCGCATGAGCGTCAGGGTGGGCACGTGGTACCAGTCCCCCACCACTACCAGACCCAGCCCAGGCTCTGTGATTTGAACAGGGTGAGCACGTGGTAGTGGTGGAGTCTTTTTCGCGATCTGACTCCTACCTATGCTCACCTCCCCTCCCCTGCGCGATATTCCTCCTCCATATCAACCATCAGCACCGCGCCATACTCCCTCACAACAACACACTACATGTACCAGCTTTTGTTCGGGATTGTCATGTGTCTGAATCCTCCTTTCACTTCCTCACAGTCCCACATCTCACCTCCTCTGCATGGTATTCCTCCTCCATATCACCATCAGCACCGCGCCATACTCCCGCGCATCAAAGCACGTCAGCAGAGACCCCAGCACCTCGAGCAAGAACCCCCACCCCCTCAAGATTGAGCCCCCAGTCCCTCCCTCCGCACCCAGGCCACTATCAGCCCCACCCAGCCCGAGCACTGCAATGTGATGTGATGTGATGTGATGTTCCGCGATCTGCCTCCTATCCACCAGCGCTCACCTCCTCTTTATGGTACTCCTCCTCCATGTCCACCATCAGCACCGCGCCATACTCCCGCGCATCGAAGCACGTCAGGGGAGACCCCAGCACCTCCACTCCACCTACGCCTGTCACACGTCTGCATCTCACCTCCGCCTTTCCTCACATCTCACCTCCTCTGCGTGGTACTCCTCCTCCATGTCCACCATCAGTACTGCGCCATACTCCCTCGCATCGAAGCACGTCAGGGGCGACCCCAGCACCTCGAGCGTGAACCCCCAGTCTCTCAGCGCGGCAAACAGCCCGTGGAAGTTGGTGTGGGGGTGGTCGCCGTGCCAGTCCAGAATGTCGTTTCTCACATCCAGTGAGTCCCTATGGGGAGAGAAGGAACGGCAGAGGGGAGAGAGTCAGAGAGTGGGAAGGAGGAGAAGAGATGGTGTGGAAGTGGGTGTGGGGGTGGTCGCCGTGCCAGTCCAGAATGTCATTCCGCACGTCCAGAGAGTCACTGCAGAGTGGGGAAATGGACCGAGGTGCGAGTCGTGATAATGCCATGGACATGCATGGACTGATAATGCGATGGACATGCATGGACTGATAATGCCATGGACATACATGGGCTGATAATGCCATGGACATGCATGGACTGATAATGCCATGGACATGCATGGACTGATAATGCGACGGACATGCATGGACTGATAATGCCATGGACATGCATGGACTGATAATGCCATGGACATGCATGGACTGATAATGCCATGGACATGCATGGACTGATAATGCCATGGACGGGAACAGAACAGCCAGATTCAAGAGACTCCAGTCGCACGTTGTGAAACCAGTCCCACAGCACACGGCAGTGGCGGGGGGGGGGGTGGGGGGGGGTGTAAGGGCATGATGGGGCAACATGCACACTCACTTGCACATGCACATGCACATGCACATGCACATGCACATGCACATGCACATGCACAGATACAGATGCACAGATACAGATGCACAGATACAGATGAACATACACACCAAGGGAACACATCAGGGCACGCACCTGGGGATGTAGCCAGGAGGGTACCACACGTTGTGAAACTGGTCCCACAGCACACGGCGGTGGCGGGGAGGTGTGCGCATAAGAGTGGCAGGCACAGCTACAGCCTGAGGATAAAGCAGGCTGCACACAAATGCGCTCACCTGGGGATGTAGCCAGGAGGGTACCGCACGTTGTGAAACTGGTCCCAGACAACGTGGCGTTGAGAGCATGGTGTGGGCAACGGGCATGTGAGTGGCAAGCACAGCTACATTCGGAGGGATAACACACAAATGCGCTCACCTGGGGATGTAGCCAGGCGGGTACCGCACGTTGTGAAACTGGTCCCACAGCACACGGCGGTGGCGGGGAGGCGCCGGCATGATGGCAACGCGGAGAGGTAGTGAACAGTTGGTGGTGCGAGGGGCGGATTCGTTGGGGCCGGGGGGAGAGACGACCGTGAAGTGAATGGCGCCCGCTAAGGTGCCTGTGTTGAGAGGGGGACAGGGTGGGGGGGGGAGAAGCCTGTTGAAGGGGAAGAGGTGGGGGAAGCAGAGGGGCAACGCGGAGGGGCAGCGAGCAGTTGGTGGTGCGAGGGGCGGATTCGTTGGGGCCGGGGGGAGAGACGACCGTGAAGTGGATGGCTCCTGCTATGGTGCCTGGCTTGGGTGATGGGGGGGGATGGGGAGGGGGAGGTGGAGCGGTGGGAGGATGGGGAGAGGGGAGCACGTTGGAAGCAGTTGGTGGTGCGAGAGGAGGATTCGTTGGGGCTGGGGGGACAGACGACCGTGAAGTGGATGGCTCCTGCTATGGTGCCTGGCTTGGGAAGGAGGGGGTGAAGGGGAGGAAGCGGAGAGAGGGGAGTGAGTGACGAGGGGGACATTGCGGGGGATAAAAGAAAGTGAAGTGGATAGTGCCCGCTACGGTGCCTGCTATGGTGCCTGGCTTGGGGGAACAGAAAGGGGCGGAAGAAGGATGGGGAGGCGAGAGGACGTTGATGGAGAAGGGGGAGTATGGTGGGACAAGAGAGGGGAAGGAGCGGAATGCGGGAGGAAGGCTCACCATTGAGTAAACATGCAAGGTTGAAGTGCTATAAGGCGCGTGGACTGAATCTGTTTTTTGAGAAAAAAAAAAAAAAAAAAAAGGCGAGAGGATTGCCACACCTTTCCTCATCCGCGTTCCCCATACATGAAGTGAGGGTGTTTTTGAGACGTCTCATATATTCACTGCTGCCATTCCCGTCATCTCCTCTCCCCATGGAATTGCGCTTCATCCTGTCCCTTCACCCTTCCCATCCCATTCCCCCGCTCACCATTGAGGTGCCTTGCACCGGGATGCACTCTCAGGTAGATCCCCAGATTGCCAGACCACAGCCAGACAGAGCACTGCGGGGTAGGAGAAGCCTTGAGAGGCGAGTGTTTTTCCTTTCCACACATCCCTACCTCCACTGCCCCAAGCCAATTGGTCACTCACCATTGAGATGCCTTGCACCCGGATGCACTCTCAGGTAGATCCCCAGGTTGCCAGACCACGGCCAGAGCACCGCGGGGTAGGAGAAGCGCACATGCAGCACCCGGTGGGGCGGCGGAGCGGCGGACGAGGAGGAATTCGAGGCCGAAGCTTTCACAAAGCCGCCATTGGCATCTGCAGCTTCAGCTGCAGCTGCTGCAGCTGCGCTTGACAGGTTACCCTCTGCAGCAGTGCTGGTGAGATTGACCTCTGTGGGAACCCACACAGGCGGGGCAGCGAGCCAGCCAGTGACGCCCATGCCGTTGAGGACAGTGACATTGATGATGAGGGGGAGGGCAGAGGCGAAGAGCGGCTGGCGGCACCACGGCCACGCGTAGGGGCAGTCTGTTAAGTCGAGGGTGGAAGGGTGGACGGATGCCCGGGGCGTGTAACTCGCCAGAATGGCGTGGGATCGCAGGCTGGTGGGGTGGGGGACGGGGGAGGGGAGGGGTGGGGGGCAGGGGGGGGTGAGAGGGGAGAGGAAGGGGGGAGGGGAAGATTGACCTCTGAGAGAACCCAACCCACAGAGGCGGGGCAGCGAGCCAGCCCGTGACGCCCATGCCGTTGAGCACGGTGACGTTGATGATGAGGGGGAGGGCGGAGGCGAAGAGCGGCTGGCGGCACCACAGCCACGCGTAGGGGCAGTCTGTTAAGTCGAGGGTGGCGGGGTGGACTGATGCCCGCGGGGTGTAGCTCGCTAGAATGGCGTGAGATCGCAGGCTGAGGGGGAGGGGAAGGAGGGGTGAGGGAAGGGGGGAGAAGGGAGAGGAGGAGGGGAAACGCAGATTGATTTCTGAAGGAACCCACCCACATAGGCGGGGCAGCGAGCCAGCCGGTGAACCCCATGCCGTTCAAGATGGTGACGTTGATGATGAGAGGCAGCGTGGAGGCGAAGAGCGGCTGGCGGCACCACGGCCACGCGTAGGGGCAGTCCGTGAGGTCGAGAGAAGCGGGGTGCACTGATGCTGGAGCCGTTTAGCTTGCTAGAATGGCGTGAGATCGCAGGCTGAAGGGGGGGAGAGAGGGTGGGGGAAAGAGGAGGAGAGAAGAAGGAGGAAGGACGGAGTAGGAACAGAGGTTTGGGGGAGATGTGGGCAAGGGGCTGTCTCGACATCAACCCCTTCAACCAAACCCAGAATTGTGGCAAGGGGTTGAAATGGAGATGTGGACAAGGGCCACGTGTAGAAATTAGATTTTTGAGACGTCTCAAGAATCCACTTTCTACACGAGGTGGACAAGTGCCACAGTTCTGAATATCAGAACGGTTTCAACCCCTTCAACCAGCGCCTGGCCTGCTTGATAATACTCGCTGGGTTCAGCACCCAAGACTGTCGCTGAGTTGAGACATCTCTGAAGCACACTGCACACAAGACAAGACGAATTGTTTCACACTCACAGATTTAATCGCCTTGATCCTTGCTCGAACATATGCGGCCCGTTCAGCCTGTCAGCCCCTTCGACCAACGCCTGCTTCATACTCGCTGGGTTCAGCAGCACCCAAGACTTGCTGGCTTTGAGACGTCTCGAATCCACACAAGACACTAAGTGTACCAACAAACTGATTCACACTCACAGGTTGAGATGCCCAGACCCTTGCTCGAACATATGCGGCCCGTTCAGCCTATCGGCCCCTTCGACCAAAGCCTGCTTCATACTCGCAGGGTTCAGCACCCAAGACTGACAGGCTTTAAGACATCTCTGAAGCACGCTGCACACAAGCCACAAGACCCTGCACTCTGCACTGTCTCACACTCACAGGTTGAGTTGCCCGGACCCTTGCTCGAACATATGCGGCCCGTTCAGCCTATCGGCCCCTTCAACCAACGCCTGCTTCATACTCGCTGGGTTCAGCACCCCTCCCGGCCCCCACCGCACGGCTTCCGGCACAACGCTCGCTAGCAGACAAACCGCGCCGGCCACCACTGGGCTCGCGACGGACGTCCCGGATAGGCTCTTGCACCCGCCGTTGATCTTCGAGCCGACCACCTCCCGCCCGTAGGCGACTATGTCCGGCTTCATTCGTCCGTATCTGAGAGGGGTGGAAAGGGTGGGCGGCAGAGCGTGGGAGAGTTGGGGGCTGTTGGCAGGTGGGCAGGGAGGGGTGCTTGCGAGATAGAGGGGTTTAGAGCGGTGAGCAAGTGGCAGGGATGAGTGGCTCCTTCTAAACCCCCATTCCCACCTCTCACATACCCCCCCTCACCTTCCCACTCCACCCGTCCCCCCACCCCCATTTTCCTTACCCCCCACACCCTCCTCTTACCCATGAGGCAGCTCCCATGTGGTCATGCCACAAGAGGAGAACGACGCAATGTGCAGGGTGTAGTCGATGCCCACCACCCCAATCTCACATCGTTCTTTCTCATCCCATACCTGTGTATTAACCGGAAATGAATATCTCACAGCAACAACATACCCGTGTGGCAGCTCCCACGTGGTCATGCCATGGGAAGAGAATGGTGAGATGTGCAGGCGATCAAAACGTATAGTTGATAGACCCCACCCCAGCCGAAAAACAGCACCACTCTCTGCCTCATCCCCCCATTCTACCCCTTTTTACCTCCCACACCACATGCCCGTGTGGCAGCTCCCACGTGGTCATGCCATGGGAGGAAAACGACGCGATGTGCAGAGTGTTGTCAATGCCGCCCATTCCAACTGAACTCAGCACCACACTCCCTTCAACCCCACTCCCCACTCTGCCTTCTATCTCTCCCTCATTCCCGTGTGGCAGCTCCATGTGGTCATACCACGCGAAGAAAACAATGCGATGTGCAGAGTGTAGTCGATGCCGCCCACCCCGATCACGTCATTCTCTCCCCCTCATCCCCACTTCATACACACCCAAGCCAAACTTGTATCTCCCTCCATCTCCACTACCCACCCGTGTGGCAGCTCCCACGTGGTCATGCCACGGGAGGAGAACGATGCAATGTGCAGAGTGTAGTCGATACCGCCCACACCAATCACGTCGTTCTGGTCCGCGGGGTTGTTGAGTGTACCGTACAGCGGCCCGTCATTGCCAATGGCTGACACCATCAGAATGCCGTTGCCTGTGACTTCCCACACCTTGGGGGGGGCGGGAAAAGGGGGTGAGGGGGGAGGGGGAGAGAAGGACGGGGAAGTGGATATCGTCTCCACAAACGGCCGGTCCAGAAAGTGTGGGTTCCTTCATCTCCGCCCCTCTCAATCCCTCCCCAACCCTCCCCATCACCCCTCCGCCCTTCCCAACCCGTCCCACACATCCCCACCTTCTCCACAAACAGCCGGTCGAGGTAGTCAGGCCCCCCAATCCTGAGATTCAACACCTCAGGGTAGTCGCGCGTAGGACGGCGTAGTTGATGCTTTCTTTCCTTTCCACCGCTCCCCACCCCACCCCACCCCTCGCTACCCCCAACGCACCCTTCAACCCACCTTCTCCACAAATGGCCGGTCGAGGTAGTCAGGCCCCCCGATGCTGAGGTTGAGCACGTTCATGCGGGTTAGGATGGCGTAGTTGAACGCATCCAGGAACCATGATGTGTAGGACACCTGAGAAGGGGGGGTGGCAGTGGGGGTTGAAGGGGGGGAAAGAGAGAGGAGGTGACGAGGAGAGAACGCCGAGGCCTTGACCTGGTGGTCAGATTCAGCAACATCACTCCCATGAGCATGGTATAGCGTGGCAGAAGGTGTTGAGGAGTGAAACAGGGCGAGTAGGAGACCTGTCAGGGACAGCAACTCACGAAGGGGCAGCGGGGGTGGAGGTTGAAGAGGGGGAAAGAGGGAGCAAGTGACGATTGGCCTTGGCCTGGTGGTCAGAGTCAGCAACTCACTCCCGTGAGCATGCTATAGCGTGGCAGATTGAACCTTCTGGCACAAGGGTCAAGGAACCAGGACGTGTAACAGAAATCGACTCAAACAGACACCAACACACCTGGGCGTTGGTGAAGACTCGGAAGGCGTAAATCTCAGCATCGGGGGCAAACCCGCGGCAGTGGGAATCGCAGCTGGCAATCACCCCCGCCACGAAGGTGCCGTGGCCCAGGCTGTCGTTTAGTGTGTCCTCGTTTGTCCAGTTGGTGCGCTCCTGGTCATGCGGTGGCGGGACGGGGCCGGGATGGCCCACTTGGATGATTGAATGGGGTTGACTGATGGGTGACGAAGGGGCATTGATGGGTGACTAAGGGGCATTGATGGGTGACTAAGGGGCATTGATGGGTGACTAAGGGGCATTGATGGGTGACTAAGGGGCATTGATGGGTGACTAAGGGGCATTGATGCTTGATTTTCACCTTGATGTAACGGAATTGGAGGCGGCCTAGTGACTTCATTCTCTACTTGATTTTCCAGGGTGCGAGTGGTTGGTCTAATGACTTGGTTCTCACCTTAATATTGCGGAAGTGCGGGTGGTCTGCTCGCACGCCCGTGTCAAACACAGCCATCTTGACATTTGCCCCAGTGAATCCCTTGCTCTTGAATTCTGACGTTCTGACATAGTCCACTCCTCTCCCTAAAGATTGAGTTCTTCTCACCTTAATATTGCGGAAGTGCGGGTGGTCTGCTCGCACGCCCGTGTCAAACACAGCCATCTTGACATTTGCCCCAGTGAATCCCTTGGCCCACAGCCGTTCCGCGTGGAACAGAGACGTGATCTGAGACTTGTGCGCCTGGAATACGGACAGAGGGGTGCAGCGCGGTGAGGAGGGATGGACAGGAGTGGACAACCAGATCAGTTTGACCCGAGCCCCCAAGGAAGCACTTGGCCCACAGCATCTCAGCATGGAACAGAGACGTGACCTGAGACTTGTGCACCTGCGGTGTGGAAAGCGAGGGTGGAGAACGAAAATGTGCAAACCAGATCAATCTGGCACGCACACCAGTGAAGCCATTGGCCCAGGGAGGGAGGGTTGCAGAGCGGTGAGGAGCAGTGGAAAGGGTAAATCTGACAAACAGATCAATTGGACACGAACCCTAGTGAAGCCATTGGGCCACAGCTGTCTTGCGTACAACGGAGGTGTGAGTTAAGTCCTACCTGCCTAAGTCCCACCTGCCTAAGTCCCACCTGCCTAAGTCCCACCTGCCTAAGTCCCACCTGCCTAAGTCCCACCTGCCTAAGTCCCACCTGCCTCAGTTCCCACCTGCCTCAGTTCCCACCTGGCTCAGTTCCCACCTGCCTCAGTCCCCACCTGCCTTAGTCCCCATCTGCCTCAGTCCCCACCTGCCTCAGTCCCCACTTGCATCAGCTCCCACCTGCCTCAGTCCCCACCTGCATCAGCCCCCACCTGCCTCAGTCCCCACCTGCATCAGGTGTCGGCGGTTGACAGCATCAGCCGACACATTCCAGGCCCTACTGAGAAACGACCCAGCAGCAGCTAGTTCACTTTGAAGAGTCACATGCCTTTTCTCAAAGGACTCTTCCAGACGCCTAATCTGCCACTTTCGACTCTTTTGCCTCTTCTGCCTATTCCTTCTCCTCCTTTCTTCCATGCCCCTTTCCTCCATCCTTCTCCTCTTCAGCCTTCTGGACCGTCCCTTGCTCGCACCCACCACCTCCTCTCCCTCTCCACCGCTCTCCACCCATCTCAACTCCCTCGCACCCACACGCATCCTATCCTCTTCCTCCTCCGCGTCCTCCTTTCGGCTGCCTCTCCTCCCCTCGCCCCCAACCCCAGAACCCTGAACCCTCCCAGTCAAACCCCTAGACCCTCCCACTCTTCCCTCGGGAATCTCCCCTTCCTCAAACGACATTCTCGTTCGGAGCCTTCCAGGAGGTTTCCTCACCGGCCCTCTCACATCCCACCCTCCCCCTTCCTCCTCCCCACCCCATCCTTCAAGCCATGGATCCTGCTCTGTCTTATCCGTCTCTTCTCCTCCTACACTTGCTCCACTCCCTCCCCTTCCTCCTCCTCTTGTTCCTCTCTCCCCTCCACCCTCTCCTCTTCTCCTCCTTTCGTTTCCAACACCTTTCTTCTCACGCTCTTCCTTCTCTCCCTCACTGTACATCAGTGAGCGAGTGTACTTCATCTGACGGTGCACATCCTTCACAAATGGAAGGTCCTCAATCCGACGCTTCAGATCCTCCCACTCATTGCCCCCTGTCCCCCTCTCCCCGTCCTCCCCTTCCGTCTCAGCTCCCTCAACCAGCAAAACGCCGAAGTCCGTTGGAAAGGCCATGGCTGGATTCGTCCTTTCTACCCAATGACACCTGGCAGACCCTGATTGGCCGATGCCTGACTGACTGCCAGTGCTTCCTATTCCGCTAGGGTCCGGATTTCGGGGAGATTTTAAAGCATCTATCAGCCGTTGCCGATGCACCTCCACAGGTTCGTACGAAGTGAAACGGACTATCCATTCATCTACCACAGGCTCCATGTCAACCTCCCGAACCTGTGCCTCGGAAGCCTTTTTGCCGAGCCTCAATGTACCTTCCCGAGCCTTTTTTTCTGCATTGGGAGCCTCCTCTGCTGTACTGAAAGTTTCAGTCTGAGATGGACGAATTGGAACGGGTTCCGTCTTATTGATGCCTCTATCTGTTCCTCCCTTCCTCTCCACCGGTTCGTCTTGCCATCCCTCCGTCCAAAACTCTAATTCCAGCCGTGTTCCCTGCTCCAATCCCGAGCCTGAATCCGAGCCTCTTCCCGAACCTGGCCCTGAACAGAGTTCATCATGCACAGGAATCTGGTCATGATCATCCGCCTTATAAGCTGTCACTAGAGGCTCTTTCCAGGACGAGCATGAGCGCGTATCGGAACATTTCCTTTCCGCTGCACAACCTGCAGCATCCAGCCAGCTCCTGGGGCCGCACTGACAGACAGACATGTGCTTTTCAGCGAGGCTTGCACAGGAAGCAAGTCTTTCATGTTCCCGGTCTTCCTTTGCTGCGCCTGGTGCTACTTCGGAAGGATCGCCAGATATTCTGCCCTTGCAACACCTACTGCTGCTGCTGCTGACGCTGCGGATGCTGATGCTGTTGCTGCAGTTGCGTATTCTTCGCGAAAGTAAGCTCAAGGGAGCAATGCAGCTGCTATCCATGTGGGTATCCGTCGTTCCTGCGACCACTTGTATCGCCAACGACGTGATTGTAGCGAAGATCAAACCTAGGGTGCATAGACTCTCGTGGCTCGGCGAAGCGCCACGTGGCAGCAACGTGCCTTCACGTGCTGGCCACGCGGAGCGAGCCATCAAGGCAACGCACCTTGTCCGGAATCAGAGCATTCCTCTCAGGATCAACTAGAATTTGGAAAATCAGAAATGAGAAAGTCTTCTTCACCAGCGAGTACTCCCTGAGGACACGACAAATTAGGAATGTTACTTCTGCACGATGATTACGTCCTTCTTGACGGAATAAGTCATTATTGGAGAGATTTCAGCCCATTTCCGTCGCCCTCTAAGAAGCCAACCTGCCTAAGACGAATGATCCGCGACAGCGAACGCCGCTAGCAAGCAAAGAACTAACGAATGACCAGGTAGGCACTGGACGACCTTGTTATGAAATCAGGCGGTTTGTGATGATCAGTTGTGTCCACTGGAAAGTGTAAAAATTTACGCAATCACCATCGTGAAACGTACAGAACCGTATTGTGCCGTGTTTAGACGAATTTACGGAACAAACTAGTCCGCCAACAGGAAGGGCGGGATGAGCGAGCATAGGGGGGAAGTCACGCACAAGCCGTGCGGAGTTTTCAAGGCCCAGGCGAAGTATGATGTGCGGACGGGTGCTGTCAGACCAGGTTCGGCAAGTTCGAGGGAAATTTGAGGCCCAGGCGAAGCATAATGTATAACGCTGTGCGTTTCGCACAACATGACTAAGACCCAAATTCAAGTATGGCAGGATCTCGAAGTTCCAATCAACTATGATCTTGTCAGTTTATATTAATTTCATTCATTTACAAAGAAAATGAATTTGAACAAGCTGCTCTTGCTGGGCACTTGAGCGCACAGGAAACCTCAAATCACAAAATATGCACACGGAAGGGCATACAAGGGAACACATAAACGAAGGAACAAAACTCCCAAGGAAACCCAAACATTTCAACAAAATTGCATCCTTCACAAAAGCTGGATAGGATGGACGGTGCCTTCACAACGGCTAGGCGAGTGGGGAACTCCCACCATTGAAGGCAATGTGGCGAAAAAGGTAAGTCCCGCCACATAAAAGTGGTTCCGCTGCTGCCTGCAGCACCGGGATCTTGAGGCGCCTCAAGTGGAAAAAAACTTCATGCTGCTCAACGCAGCACCGGGCAAAGTTTGAAATGCCCCTCTGTATACGTTGCACAAGTCAGCAGAGCTGACTCAGCTGAGCTCACTGCTGTAAACTGCTGCTCCAGCCACTCCACCAGCAGCAGCAACCAGCATCAGCATCAGTAACTGCTGCTGCTGCTACTAGTGGTAACCAGCATCATCAGCAGTAACCGTGCTGCCTGTACGTTCTCTCCTCTGCCAATCTCCGCATCTCCAACCCAATCTGGCTCACGTGACTCACACCACTCCGCATCACCATGCCATGCCCTTGGCTCACATGCTCTGCTGTCACCACCGCACCCAATGCCCCTCCTTCCACAGCCTCACGGCCGAATCCTGTAACCGCGCTCGGCTTCTTGCCGTATGCAGTAACCGCACTCCTCTTCTCGGTTGCCACAAACGGGTTACCAGGCACAGCACAGGGGATAGTAGTGGCAGGCGGTGCAGGGAACATGGCAGGCGCAGGGCGTGCTGCATTGAGAGGCAGGAAAACCGGCCGTGAGGCGGCAAGCTGATGGGGCTGCTGATGTGGCTGCTGACGAGGGGGCTGGGATTGCTGATGCACCTCCTGCCCTCGTCGGCCAAACACAGATTGCTGCCGCGACGCTGGAAGCTCAAACAGACCAGCAGAATCACCACCACCACCAGCAGCCACAACCGGAGCTACCTGGCTCGTTCCCGAACCTCCAGCCAGCTGCGTGCTGCTCCCGGACCGCGGAATCTGGTTCGTGGTCCTCCGGTACGGACCAGCCCACTTGGTCCGGAGATACTCAGCCCGGCGCCAGGGCGGCAGGTGCAACCCCTGCTCCCTCAGACTCTGCCTTGTGGCATCTGCCAGCACTTCAGTGATCTTGAGCAGGCGGTTGAGACGGCCGACGAAGATGATGGGGGCGGAGTGGACGACGGCGTCAAAGGCAAAGGTGGGGCGCGCGATTTGAAACTGCGCTCGGAACTCAATGTCTACGATGATTCGGTCGGATGGCGAGAATGGTGACGGGTTGGCAGCGGTGGCGGTGGTGGTGGCAGAAGCGCTGGTGTTGGTGTTGTTGACCATGCTGCTGCTGCTGCTGGTGGTGCTGTTGTTGCCGTGGCACGGCAGAATGACGTCTATGTACTCGTAAGTGCCGCCAGGAAGGCCCTTGGAGTGCTCCCACCGTGCCTTGCACACTGCAGCGTCGTACCCTTTGGACCGAAGCTGGCACATCACAGCCCGCCTCAGATTGCCGTTGCTGCTGCTGCTGGTGGCGCCATTGCTGCCGTTGCCGCTGGAGCATGCAGCGTTTGAGGAAGAGGCTTCCTTCTTGGCTGTTTTAAGGGCGGCGATGACGTCAGCGAACAGCTGGCACTCGTCCGCGGAGGTGCAGGCGCTCAGGGACTGGGGGAGGGGCGCAAAGGGGGAAGGGCGGAGAGAAAGGGGGAGGGGCGCGGGTTAGTTGAGCAATCCACGATCGATAGGGAGAATAACGGCAGCTACATCAAATCATTCTCATTTGCCATCCCATTCCCATCTCCGTCCCCATTCCGCCTTCCTCATTTCCCCATGCCCTCTTTCCCCCTCACCTCAATGAGGCTCGACACGTCCCCCATTCCGCACCAACCGCCGCTCTCCCCCATCCGCGGAGCCTGCGCGTCCTGCTCCGCCATGCGCGCGTACATCGCATCCGCGTTATAGCCACCCTCGCTGCCGTGAATCGCGTCAAGCAGACGGTGGTCGAGAGTGTGGCTCTCCGCCGAGCCGGTCTCCATGAAATCGGAAACCATCTCCGCCAAACACACGGACGACGGGTCGTGCGCGCTACCGGAACTGCACAGGGGAAGGAGCGGGGGAGGGGGAGGGGGGAGAGGGGGGGAAGGAACGGAAACGGGTAAGCCAGTGTTCGAAGAGACAAAATGGGGTAATAACCATGGGAGCAGGGGCAGGCGGGGGGAACGGGAAGGAGAGGAGTGATAACAGAAACATCATTGCAAACCTAAGTCCTTCAAAACACACCTGTTACTGTCGTAGCTGCCACCGCTCTTGGCGCCGTGACTTGCGGCGGTCTTCCCATGACTGCCCATCGGCCATGCCCCGTGAATTAAATGCAGCCCTCGGGTGCTGCCGCTGTTAGCCGCAGTCACCGCCGCAGTTGCCGCTGAGCTCTCCCCCGCCTTTGCCGCAGCAGAATTTTCCGCTGCCGGGCCGCTGACTGCTATAATTTGCGCTGCGAGAAGCGTGCCGCTAGCGCAGCCGCGGCTCCGTTCGCCGGAACTAGCGCCGGCAGCTGGGGTGCGAAGGATTTGCTGCAGCGCGCCAATTCCAGCGAGCGGAAGACGCGGCGGGTTGTGCGGCGAGATCGACGGCTGGTTGAACAGCAGCGATTTCACCGCGGGGGACGCGGGTGTCTGATGCGGCAACACCGGAGCGGGAATCGCGCCGGCGATTGCGGAGAGCTCCGCCGTCAACACCAGGTCGGCCGGTTTTGCCGCGACATGGTGGTCAACGGCAAACGACAGGTACTCCTGCTTGCTGAAGAAGTTTCCAGCGGCAGATGCGGCGGAAGATGCGGCGGGAGCGGTTCGAAAGTTACTGCTAGCGGTAGCGGGCCCGTGAGCGGGCCAGATGTTAAAGATTCCAGGCATTCTGCGTGTCTCCTGCGAGCCGCCGCCGCGTTCGGTGCGTGGGTGGCGCGTTAGAGACGGGCGGCATGCAATCAGAATCAGTCGACGGGGTCTAAGACGTTCTCAGACGTGACTGGTGTCTGGGCGAATTGAACAATCTGTCGCCGTAGGACAGACTATTGAGAGCGAGGAGAGATCGCGAGGGAAATCGCGAAAGAGCCAGAAACGCGAGAAGAGGACGCCTCGCGAGACGAGTGACTGATGTCTGGTATGAGGTTCGAGGTATGGCTCCTTATGTACGACTCATACAACTCTGCCTTATGCTGGTCAGTCAATAGCAGGCAAGGCAAGCGTAAGTGGAGACCGTCGAAATTCCGTCAGGAAACGGAAGCAATGCGATGTGAGCGACAGAGACGGCTAAGTCCCGACGCGAGACCAGAAGGACCAGATAGCAGATGCAGAATGATGAGCAGACAGCAGAGTGAGCAAAGGGAGAGAAATGGCTGGGAGGTCGAGAAGGTGTGAAATGTGCGGAAATCAAGGAACAATGGAGTGATTCTGCCGCGCGATTGGCTATGGAAGTATGCCTGTCCGTGTCGAGGTAAGCTGACCAGCTTCAATGTCGCGTGGGGTCTCGGTTCGGTTCGGTGTCACATGGGTGGGTGAGGGAGGGAGGGGAACGTTGTCGCGGAGGGAAGGATACTGTGGAAGTGGATGATGAGAGGGGAACGATCTCCTCTCGTGTCACCTCGACCCGGCTAGCATCGTTTCTCGAGGAGGAGCGGGGAGCGGAGCTGCTGCGGAGAAATGGAGTAATGGAGGCAGGCAGGGAGCAGGAACGAGAGGAGATGACCAGTGGAGCACGGAAGCAATTTTCTGGAGAGGTGCGGAATGTGTTATGCGGAGGTGTGTGGTGTGTTTTAGGTGTGGTACCGTAAGGTTGTCAGGCGGTGTGATGGTGAGGACATGAGCGGAGAGTGACGGTGATTGCTGCTAGGGTGGTATGAATGGAGATGTGATAGTGATGATGGAATGGGGTGGAATCTGGTATGGGATGGAAGGAAAATGAAATCGAGGGGGATCATATGTGGATGGGATGGGAGATCGAGGTGGATGGAGGTTGAAACACGCAACCGCACGAGGTGCAATTGTGACGTCAAGGCGACGAGTGCGTGGAATATTCGCGGATCGAGGTATGGGGGGATTTAACGAGCGACAAGCGCGCCAGCTGATTGGATGGGGCCTGGGTGTGGCGGGGGGAATGCGTGCACCGGATGAGTCACAATCACGTGAATAGATCAGTTGCTGACCTGGGCGCTGTTCGGCGCGGGTGGGACGGGCACTTCAAATACATCGCGCGCTGTAGGGGGAATCCATCGCATGCGGAAACGATACATGTGGCGCATGCGTCCCAATGCGCTGGTTCGTTTCGACTGGGGCGGGGTTTCAGTTCATTTCAGTTGGCTGTGCGCCGTGGCAGACCGCGACGTGGAATTGCGAGCCGCGTGTCATGATTCCGTCTTCATCTGTGTGTGATTCCTTCAAGAGAGGTTTGCTGGCAGTTTTTTATGAGAGGTTGGAAAATCAATGGGACAATGTTGTAATTCGGGCAGGTTTCATCCACACATTACTGGTTCTGGCTTTGAACTGCTCGTCAACACTGCATGCGAAGGAGAACAAAAGAGTTCAGAAATCGCACCAGTCGTAGTGCTTGGCGCGCCAATACAAGTATGAGGGTGGCGTCCCTCGTAACAAAGGTTATACAGTCGCATGAAAGAGGCTTCAATGCGTGAAAAACACCCATCCTCCTGATCATGAAACATGAAACGAAACGACTCGCGACCTGACGATGACACTGCAGTGTCGGCAGCAACCCCTGCCCATCGCCCGGTTGTCTGTTCAGCCTGTGGGTTGGGAGTTGCCCCATTCAAGGTTGACCAACAGATGGCAACAGTTGGCATTCTGCCATCATTCCGCCATGCGGATGGAATTGAGTGAACCTGGGAATTGACTGGTGCTTGCCACAACAGAACGGGCAGTTTCCAGGTCACCCCGGCAGGTAGAAAGCAGACTGCCACGGACCAATTTCTGGAATTGCTACATGCGCATGACGTTGGAAGGCAAAGGCAGCCTTTTGACCTCCAATTCAAGCAGTTGAGAGCAGAGTTCCGGGCAGCTGTTGACACTCCAGAACGCAAGGTCGGTTTGTCTGCAATTGTAGGTTGGACCAGGATTACACTGTGGAGTCGTACGTACCAGGCTGGCTCACCCACGAATGACGTGGCTGTACTTGTTTGACAAATCGGGACCAGCTTCAACACAGCGAATCTTCCAACTCAGCTTTACGACTTTCCCTGCGACTCCACGTTCCCGCCATTTCCGGCCGAGGCAATCCAGAAAGGCATCTTGTGACGTGACAGACGGAGGCCAAGGCACGTTTCGAAAACGTGCTTGAAGGATTTTCGGCGCGCTGAAACGGAAATCCAAATCGCAGGGAAGTGCAATCTGTGAAGACGTCAGAAATACGTCACCGATTAAGACCTCACACGAGAACCCAGTCACAGCTAGATACGTATGAGTCAGCAACCTAATCCATTCCTGGTCGATGGGACTGAGAACGTCACAAGATTTGCATCCTGTAGTTCCACTGCCACTCGATAGTGCAAACCTCGGAGACAACATAACACAAAAGAGCCATAATCTATGCAACATAAAATTCTCCATTCTGTGAACACTATGACAATGTGATTGCTCCATTCTGTACGTACTGCAAGTCCCATGGGCATTTATTTATTAGCACTCGTGCAAAATAATTTCATGGATCATATTCAGTTTACCTGATGGCCACACCATCAATATATTTTAGGTCAAATCCATTTCTTTATTCATTCCTAAAATTACATGTTATCGTACCATGTCCTATGGCTCTCTATATTCATATAAATCTTTGTGGTACACCTCTATGTACGTTGTTGGCCTGAAATAAAATCCTCTATTTAGAAAGCTTGCTTTCTTATACTGATCATTTGGCATCGTTCTCATTGCAACTCGCAAATTACAACATGCACCTCGAGCTAGACAATATAGATGCTAGTACATGACCTGATTCCACCTACCATAGCATTGTACTAGCTGTCCTGCATTATGCGTGCCTACTACCAATCATATGACTAACTGTCTGTCCTCCTGTTCCAGCGGCGTCGCAGATGTCCTCGGTGTCGGGGTGGGGGGTGGGAGAGTTGCATGAGCCGTTGGAAAATGAGAGACGTGGGTGGAGGGAAATGAGCTCCAACCCACGTTTTGTAGTTGGAGATGTTAAAGTTCTAGCAAGGCTTAGGAGCCATGGCTAGTTAGATCGAATGAGTTGAGTTCGAGAAAGTTGAAAAGGAGAAAAGAGTCGAGAGAATGAGGGGTTTCACTATAGGTTCAAGGGTACAAATATGAGAGAACAAGCAAGAAAGGTGCACCACCAAATAGGAAAACGCTATAACTACAGTAACCAATCCTACAGACAGTTACATATAGAAAATATTAAATTATATTTTCCGACACGCCCCCATAACTGGCTGTAGGAGATGAGTATGCAGTTAGCGCCCTCTCAAGGGGTACATCACGATTGTGCAGGAGGAGAAAAGTGTTTCAATAATACCACTCCCCTGGCTCCCCCACACCCTCACACCCTCCCACCCTCCCCCTCCCCCTCCCCTTCCCCCTCCCCCACACACTGCTGCAGGAGCAGCAGAGGGGGGAAGAGAGGAGAGGTGGAGGGACGGCTGCTGGGTGGTCTCACACCCGCCACCCCAGTGCCACTCCCCGGGCTCCCCCACACTCTCACACCCTCCCCCCCAGCGGCAGCTGCAGCAGTGGGAACAAAAGGAGGAGGAGAGGGGGGGGGGGGGGGGGCGACGCACGGCCTCCCCGGGCGCCAAAGCAGGCGGCAGAGGGGGCGACGCCTGCCCCCCCATTCCAGGTCGCGGCCCCCTCAGGTCGCCTCGACAGGTGACGGGAAAGGGGGGGGGGGGGCGGTGCACGTGCCCCCGGTGTGCCGCGGCTGGCGACGGGGCATGGCCGGGGCGGGGTCGGGGCTGCAAGTGGGCGACGGGGCCTCAGGTGGCGGGGCCGCAAGTGGCGACGGGGCCGGGGCCGTAGGTAGGTGACGGGGCCGGGGCCGCAGGTAGGCGACAGGGCCGTAGGTAGGCAACGGGGCCGCAGGTAGGCGACGGGGCCGCAGGTAGGCGACGGGGCCGTAGGTAGGCGACGAGGCCGGGGCCGAAGGTAGGTGACGGGGCCGGGGCCGCAGGTAGGCGACGGGGCCGTAGGTAGGCGACGGGGCCGCATGTAGGCGACGCGGCCGCAGGTAGGCGACGGGGCCATAGGTAGGTGACGGGGTCGCAAGTAGGCGACGAGGCCGGGGCTGCAGGTAGGCGACAGGGGCCAGGGGCCGCAGGTAGGCGACAGGGGCCAGAGGCCACAGGTAGGTGACGTGGCCGGGGCCGCAGGTAGGCGACGGGGCCGTAGGTAGGCGACGGGGCCGCAGGTAGGTGACGGGGCCGCAGGTAAGTAGGGCAAGGGGCACGCCACGGGGCGTGCCGAACACAGATTAGCAGCGGAAGCTGTAGGGTGGGCCCACAGGTCAGGACCTTAGTACTCTGATGGCATGTTAAAGTTCTAGCAAGGCTTAGGAGCCATGGCTAGTTAGATCGAGTGAGTTGAGTTCGAGAAAGTTGAAAAGGAGAAAAGAGTCGAGAGAATGAGGGGTTTCACTATAGGTTTAAGTGTTGAGAGTAGAACGAGAATGAATGAACTATGAATGAAGTGAGTACAAATAGGAAACCCTAACTGGGTTGTACCCCCTATGGGATACCCCACTACAGCCTACACAATAGTATAAGCTATATATATATGTTCTGACACACCCCCATAGGCAAAGTGGGGGAGAACAAGGGGTCACAAGACCAGTCAAGCAAGACAAAGCAAAGCTCAGGGTGGATCACAAAGTCACCACACAGTCCGAGCACAAG